CCGGTCATTGTGAGCCAGCCTTTAAGACCTAGGAGGCATAAAGCCTCACCCAAGCCCCGAGTCCCAGAGCATGTGAGAAGGCAGTCGGGGTCGGAGGTGAAGGTCGCAGCACGGGAGCAGAGGGGGGGGGGGTAAATCCTGTAGCATCAACCACAATGGCTACAATCCCCACGTACAATGATGGCATTGTGGACTATTGGTTGCTTAGTGTGTCCTGGAGCTGTGCCTAATAGAGTTATAGTGCTGATGTGATGGCTGCGCAGCTGAGGAGAGCAGTGGGGGGGGTGGGGGGGGGGGGGGGGGAGCTGGAAAGTGGTCCCAGCTTCTGAGTTTTGCTTTGCGTGAAGTCCCGGGGGTTAGGAGCGAAAGAGAGTGAGAGGTTACGGGCTTAACTTTTCACTGAGCCTTAAGCCATGAACCCTTTGGCTCGACCGACACACATGACTCCTCTGTGAAGGGACAGAGGTGACAGGACGTATCGGGGGAAGTCAAGTCGCCGACTGCAACATTGACTTTTCTATTCGTGAATCTGTGAAGATCGGGCGGATCAACACATCTCTCTGTTACTTCAAAGTTTCTTAAAAAAAAAAAAATCAAACTAACTTATTTTGCGTTCTGCCTATATCCTATATATAATACGGCAAAACTCTATGTTAAAAGTATATATTAAAATCTCATATAATTACACCACAATTACCACCCTTGGATTTAGAAACAGCAGGAAGTTAAAATGATACGCAGCTTATTCTGTCACGCTACGCGCGTTTCTATTATTGAGATCTGCTTTCGACTCCACGAAACAATGCCTGAAAAAACTTTAGTAGCGTCACGTGGATATTTTCTGCTAACACTGTTTACGGCCGGGCCTTTAGTTAGGCTTTGCTTAAACAGAGAGGTCTGGAGGGCCTCTGGAGACACAAGCCACTGATACCACAGGCTCATCATCCTCGTCACAACTCAGACACTCAGCTGGTGGAGGTTATGCGGTGACACGCCACGGGTACCTCAGTTATCAACTCTGTTAGCAAGCTAAGGCTCCGGCAGAGTAAAGTGACACGCGATGAGTGGCGGGTATGACAGATGGATGTAGAGACACTGATGTATGTGGGGAAAAAAAGTTTGTAAGTCTTGCTGATGTCTGTAGTAACAGCAGCCTCCGATTTGACATTCTCTCTTGCTTTCTGTTTTTTTTTTCTTCTTCTTCTTCTTGGCTTCTTTCTGACATCCTTTAAAGAACAAGCTATGTTTCCCAGGGTCCAGCTATTTGAAGCTCATAGTTTTGGTCATCCGAAGTTTTCTGCTCCAACTCGGGCCGTTCAGACACTGTCCCCACTTACATTTCCACAATGGCAGGGTCCTGGGGGCCAGACCGTAGCCACCCTACTCTCTACCCACAGTTGAGTCGCCTCTGGCAGAACTGCTGCATGCTTTGTGTGCTGGTTTTGGCGACTGATCAGGGAAACCCCACAGTCTCTCCATGGTGAATATCGAACGTCCTGCCAGGACCATTATGCATTCCTTCAATGACTGTGAAAGGCAAAGCACAACAGCACTGAACACGGTGAGACCGTGTCCAGTTCACTCAGGGCTACGGTGTGAGGCCGTGACACAGATACCCTCGGTGGTGAACTGAACTGATTCCTGACACATTTCTTACTTTTTTTCTCTGTTGTGTCTCTGGGTGTTTTGACTGACTATAAACAAGGCAAACTCCCGATAAGGTGCGTGTCCTAAATTGTACCGCACGGGCAATACGACAACAGCGGATAAATGGTAATCCTTGACATTATTGCGGCTCTAAGTCAAAACAAACATTAATGGCGAGCGGTGTTTTTGTTGATTCTCCAAAATATTGCTCATTTATCATCAGGAGTACGTCAAGGCCTGCTGTTACGCGCACATTTTTAAATATATAGGTTGTCATCCTTTACCACTCATTCTTGTGAGTCATTTTACCTCTCTTCTAGGGCAGTGGGGATAAGTGGGGCAACAAGGAGCATGGTTTGACTTTTTGGCGAGCTGAACCCGAATGCATCGAATTCCTTGTCCAGTTTGTGTACAATGTGATGCTCTCCTCAGGAGACGTTTTCAATGGGCAAACTAAGGCCCGGGGGCCGGAGGCGGCCCGTTCAGCTTTTTAATCCGGCACACCAACCTTTTCCAAATTATGTAATTTATTTATATTATCATTATACGTCTGCCTTTTCCCTGCAATACCCATGTTTCCCCAATAGATGTCGTCAAAAAAGCTAAAAGCATTTTAGCATTTATGCATGACTTTTACATGTCATTTATCTTAGTTTAGAGGGTCTCACGAGAGCCGACTGCATGCAAATGTTAGCGCCTCACCTAAATATCCGCATTAGCAGGTTTATAAATAGCTGAAAATAATGGTTGTTATCCATTCACGTTCACTATCCCGCTGTAAAGACCATTATTCTGTCTCGCACTTGTGAACCTATAGAAATCCTGTACACAGATCAGAAGATCTAATTACATACTGTATCTGACAAAGCTTTCCTATTGACATTGATGGCACGGTAATAACCTGCGTGTTGTTTATTTAAAACTTGTTCCGAGTTGGCTAGTACTTGCACTAGTGTACATCAAGATGAGTCATGTTAGCTAGCAGGCAGCTGGCAAGTCTGCGGTATTAGTCGATCCTGCTAATCTGACCATTAGCCCACCCAGATCCCATCAGGACTGCCTGGATCTGGGGTGCAGCTTATACCAACTTCATGTTCCCGGTACAAACAGGACACACGTTCAGACAGGCAGCACAAGCCAAACAATTTCACCAACCTTTCAAAGCCAAAAAAAAAAGAGAGGATCAATATTGCATGTTATGCTAAACCCCCGAGATTGAAATGCTTGGGGCTGTGACAAAGAGTCGTGGTAGTTACGTGTGTCACAAACGCCCTACCCAGAAGTTAAGGGGGCAAATCCTGTGGTCCTCTGTCACCAAGTGAACAAAAATGGGAAGGACTGGGGTCAGCAGCAGACAATTGACATGCTGCGACAGACTTCAGGATCTTATCTGAGTAAAAACACACTGCAAACACCCGCTGCACACATAGACAGCGGAGAGAAATGACAACATTTGTATTATACAAATTGTTCTTTGCAAAGTCGCAAGCACTGCTTCTACTTTTAATTGCAAATAATAGTAATAATCCTAATCCCAGTATCACTGAACGACCTGCTGCACAAGTGCTTTAGGAACAATAGCCGCGCAATTGTTCACATGCTATGCTACGGCCGCTGTTCCTTTCCTTTTCCAACAACTGGACACAGGAAAAATTGTCTTACTGAGGGGGAAAAAAGGAA